TGGGGGAGAGGGGAATTGAGGTTTCTCTGGTGAAATTATGGGGTTTGGGGAAAAATGTGTGGGGTTTTTTTGGAGGGAGGGGAATTGAGGTTTCTCTGGTGAAATTATGGGGTTTGGGGAAAAATGTGTGGGGTTTTTGGGGGGCTGGAATTGAGGTTTCTCTGGTAAAACTGAGAGGTTTTGGGTAAAATGTGTGGGGGTTTTTTTGGAGGGAGGGGAATTGAGGTTTCTCTGGAAATTATGGGGTTTTGGGGAAAAATGTGTGGGGTTTTTGGGGGGAGAGGGGAATTGAGGTTTCTCTGGTGAAATTATGGGGTTTTGGGAAAAACGTGGGTTTTTGGAGGGGGAGGGGAATTGAGGTTTCTCGGTTAAAATTGAGAGGTTTGGGGTAAAATGTGTGGGGTGTTTTTGGGGGAGAGGGGAATTGAGGTTTCTCTGGTGAAATTATGGGGTTTGGAGAAAAATGTGTGGGGTTTTGGCGGGGAGAGGGGAATTGAGGTTTCTCTGGAAATTATGAGGTTTTGGGGAAAAATGTGTGGGGTTTTTTGGGGGAGAGGGAATTGAGGTTTCTCTGGTAAAATTGAGAGGTTTTGGGTAAAATGTGAGGGGTTTTTTTGGAGGGGGGGGAATTTGGGTTTCTCTGGTGAAATTATGGGTTTTGGGGAAAATATGAAGGGTTTTTTTTTTTAGGGGGGAACTGTGTTTTCTTGAGAAACAAATGGGGTAAAAACATGGGGGTTTTTATTCCCGGTCGGGAATTTTCAGCCGGCAATTCCAGCGCTTTCTCCAGCTCTCGGTTGGGAATTTTCGCTTGGAACAACCACCCCCACCCCTCGGGGTTCATCCAGCAGGGAATAAAGAGCTCCTGGAGGTTGTTTTGGTGCTGTTTTTCCCAGTGATTTTATCCAGCACTGGATGGCACTGCAGGACCGCTCACGGCAGTAAAATAAACCTCCCCCACTTGGGTAGTTCTCAAAGCTTTAACCTGTATTTTTTTCCTTAAAAAAAAAAACAAACCTCCAAATTTTCCTAAAAAATAATTTTAAAAAATTAAAAAAAAAAAAAATTCAATTTTGCCCCCCCAACCCTATATTTTAAAAAACCTCATTTTTTTACCCCGTTTGTTTCTCAAGAAACCACAATTTCCCCCTAAAAGAAACCCACCCTCATATTTTTCCCCAAATCCCACAATTTTACCAGAGAAACCTCAATTCCATCCCCCCAAAAAAACCTCCACGTTTTCCCCAAACCCCACAATTTTACCAAAGAATCCTCAAATTTTTCCCCCCAGAACTCACCATTTTTTCCCTAAACCACTCATATTTTTTCCCCCAAACCCACTATTTTCCCTCAAAACCACTGATTGTTTTTCCCCCAAATCCACAATTTTTTTTCCCTGAACCACTGATTTTTTTTCCCCCAAAACCCATCATTTTTTTCCCCAAACCCATTGACATTTTTTCCCCATAAACCCCACCGTTTTTTCCTAACAAAACCCTTTTCCATCCTAAAAAAATTCAGGTGAAATCCTGGCACCAAAGGCAGGATTTCCAGCACTGGGATCATTCCTGGCACCAAAGGCAGGATTTCCAACACTGGGATCATTTCCAGCAGGAATTACGGATGACAGAGAAGGAAGGGACATGGATTTGGTGTCTGGGCAAGGATTGAGGTGGAATCCTGAGGAGAAATTTGGCTTCCCAAGGGTGAAATCCTGAGGTGAAATCCTGGCACCAAAGGACAGGATTTCCAACACTGGGATTATTCCCAGCAGGAATTAGGGATGACATGGCAGGGAGGGACGTGGATTTGGTGTCTGGGCAGGGATTGAGGTGGAATCCTGAGGTGGAATTTGGCTTATCCAAAGGTGAAATCCTGGCACCAAAGGCAGGATTTCCAGCACTGGGATTATTCCTGGCACCAAAGGCAGGATTTCCAGCACTGGGATCATTCCCAGCAGGAATTATGGATGACAGAGAAGGAAGGGACATGGATTTAGTGTCTGGGCAGGGATTGAGGTGGAATCCTGAGGAGAAATTTGGCTTCCCCAAGGGTGAAATCCTGAGGTGAAATCCTGGCACCACAGGCAGGATTTCCAGCACTGGGATTATTCCCAGCAGGAATTAGGGATGACACAGCAGGCAGGGACGTGGATTTGGTGTCTGGGCAGGGATTGAGGTGGAACCCCGAGGTGGAACCGTCCTTACCCGAGGTGCTGGGTCCGCACGTGCCGCTTGATGCCGACGATGGAGCGCAGGACCTTCCCACAGCTGGGCCACAGGCACTTGTACATCACCTTCACCGAGTTCTGCGGGGACAGGATGGCTCTGTCACCCCCTGCCAGGTGCCACTGTCCCCTCCCTGGGGTGCTGGCCCTGGGACACCCCCACTGTGGCCACGGCAGGGACGGCACCGGGTTATCGCTCCGCCGGGATGGGGGACAGAGATAAAATCGGAATTTAAAGGTGGAAAGCAGCTGCCAATCCCTGGGTGGAGAGACCTCCATGCCCCCACCCAGGTGCCCTCCATGCTAAACATGGAATGGTGGGATAGAATCCAACAGGGCTGGGAGAAGAGCTCTGAGATCATCAAGCCCAATCCTTGATCCAAGGACACCTCCGGGTGTCACAGAGCCCTCCAAGGGGTGTTTCTTTGCCTTCACACCCACCCCGGGGTGGCACCAGCACCTTCACCCCCAACCTGAGGGGACATCTCTGCTAATGGGCCCGACTGGACTGGCCTGAGGGGCAGCTGCAACCACCCAGACTATCGGAGACTCCAAAAATATCCCGTGACTCACGGAGTTAAATCGCCCACTGTGGAACTCCCCGCCCCTGGGGGAGGTGCTGGACGTTCCCACCTGAACCCCAGCACGTATAATCCCGGGGGTTTTGGGAATCAGAAAACCACAGGATCAGCTGGGATGGGGAAAGAGCTCTGAGATCATCGAGCCCAACCCTCGCTCCGAGCCTGCCACAATTCCCAGCCCATGGCACTGATGGATCCAGCCTGTCCTGAAACACCTCCAGGGACGGGGAATCCACCCCCTCCCTGGGCAGCCCATTCCAAGGGCTGAGCACTCTCCAGGGAAAGAATCCCTTCCCCATAGCCCACCTGAACCTCCCCTGGCCCAGCTGGAGGCCCAGCCCTCTTGTCCTGCTGCTGGTTCCTGGGAGCAGAGCCCGATCCCA